AAGAGAATTCCTGACTTATTTAAAGTGGGAGAGAATTTAAGATATTTCTATTAAGCTGTGTGAGGCTTGAAGAAAACTGATTTAAGAAAGAGAGAGAATTCTGAAATCATGCATATACACTGGTAAATATTAAAGCCGTGGAGATTCGGTGAGAAGCATAGTAGCATGCTTTCGCCATTTGTTTTCTCTTAGATTTTCTATTTCTTTGTTGATTGCCAGTGTGAACCATTTCCAAGCCACTTTGTAAATCAATTAGATTAAAAAGAAAAGAAAAGAAACACAAGAACTTTCCAGGCAGCACACTGCTGCCCTGTCTGTTCAGGCTGGTACTACAGGCTGACGTGGATTAGTTCTTACTGACAAACTCCGCGGTAGGACACAGTCATGGGGGCAAACGCTGGAGCAGGGACGGGAAGAGCTTTGAGCGGCAGGTTGGGTTTGACTTCACAGTGTCCAACGGGACACTAAGGCCTGGGGGACTGTTGTCTGGGTGAGGAATTTGGAAGCATTCTCTTGTGCTGGAATATGGTCACTCATGGCAGCCTCAGAACATCACTTATATCGTAAAGGCTGTCCTCACCCAAAGAATGAAGACTAGCAGTTGCATTAATAAGAGTAACGATGATGGGCCCGGTCCCGTGGCCAAGCGGTTAAGTTCACGTGCTCTGCTTTGGCGGCCCAGGGTTTCGCTGGTGCGGATCCTGGGCATGGACACGGCACCGCTCATCAGGCCACGTTGAGGCAGCATCCCATGTGCTACAACTAGAAGGACCCACACCTGAAATACACAACTATGTATTGGGGAGATTCAGGGAGAAAAAGCAGAAAAAAAAAAAAGATTGGCGACAGTTGTTAGCTCAGATGCCAATCTTAAAAAAAAAAATAACGATGAAAATGACATTTACTGAGTGCTTATTATGTGACAGACATTGTGCTCAATGTGAATTACCTAGTTTCAGTCTCTGTAGAGTAACCTGGTGAGGGGGGAATATTTACAGCCTATTTTGTGGTTGCCGAGATGGAGGCTGAGTGACGGGAAGTAACTTATGAAAAGTCACAGAGGTGGAACCTGAACTAAGGTCTGTCTGATTTCAAAGCCCAAATGCCTACAAATATATTAAAAATCAGTTAATGATGAATACTAAAGTCATACAGAGACTTTGGAAACAATTGAATTATATAATTATTACTGTTAAAAGTGTATATATATATATATGTATATTGCAAGATCTGGCTACAAAGGTCTCCTTTTTCTTTTAACCTCTGCTGAGAGAAATTTTATTTTGTTCATTTGTATCAGTCCCACTTGCTGATCCTTATAATCAAACACGGACTCCCCAGGTTTGAACAGAGGGGAGCTCTGGGACATGAATCTGAAAGCAGTATCTTGTCCACCTCGCTGACTTGTATCTTTCTGCTGAGAGCCCCTCACTTCCATTATCATTGCCACTATTCACTCTTTAAAACTGTGATCCAATAAGGAAAAGATAAACCTTCACTCTATTAGCCTTCAGCACAACGAGCTATGTTGGCATTTTTAAAAATTGCTAATGATTCTAGGATAGATAAACAAGAGGAAAATAGGAACAGCAGGAAAACTATTTTCCTAAGACTAGGCTGTGATCCTACAGAAACTTCCTTCTAGCCATTATGGAGGTCTGATACATTTTCACCTGTTTCTAACATGGCTTCGAGCCCTCTCTGATTCTTTCCTATTTCCATGAGACACAAAGTCTCCACTTTAAGTTAAATGATTGAATACTGGAACGATTTTTTTCCAGTGCAAGTCTAAGATATTTCCAAGTAGTAGGTCGATAAAAATCACCAACTTCCAAACTGGGATGAGTGTCCTAAATTCAACATTATCTTTCAGATTAGGTTCATGGGGAGAAAAAAAGTTCACAATGAAATGACAGCCTGGGAGAAAATATTTGCAAAACACGACAAAAAGTGAACATCATTAATATACAAGGAGCTCCTGCAAATTAAGAAGACCAAGATAAACAACTCAGAAAAAAAAAAATAGCTGAAGAATGTGAGTAAATTCCCAGAAAAAGAAGCACAAAGTTACGAAAAGAAGCCTAAATATCAGATTGGTATATTCTTTTTAGAAAATAATTTTGTGTTAAAATATGCCTTATTCTTTGACCTAACAATGCCACTTCTGGTTCTAACACATTTACATAAGGATCATCATTTGTATAATTCTTTATAATACTAAAACCTGGAAATATCCCATAAGTCGTGTGTGTGTGTGTGTGTGTGTGTGTCTAAAATGTATTTTTGTTTTTTTAAAGATTGGCACCTGAGCTAACAACTGTTGCCAATCTTCTTTTTTTTTCTGCTTTTTTTCTCCCCAAATCCCCTCAGTATATAGTTGTATATTTTAGTTGTGGGTCCTTCTAGCTGTGGCATGTGTGACGCCGCCTCAATGTGGCCTGATGAGTGGTGCCATGTCCGTGCCCAGGATTGGCACCAGTGAAACCCTGGGCCACCAAAGTGGAGCATGCCAACTTAACCACTTGGCCACGGGGCCGGCCCCTAAAACGTATTTTAATTGAGAAAAAAAAACAAAGTTTGGGCTAATATATATAGCTTGATTCCATTGGTGTGATACGGGTTTTGGATTTATAAGTAAGTGTGCAGAGGAAGCTTGATGAGTTATTGCACCCACGGGGAAAGTTAGGGGGGCGTGCACCAGACCGGCACACTGTGGCAGGAGAGGAAGCGAGCGAAGGGAGGACTTGCTTCTTTATCTATTTTTATTCTTAAAGTGCTGGGATTAGAATACTATGAGATAAGAGAAAACACATATATTGGTCTCTGCCCCTGGCTCCTGCCACAGAACTCCTGAAATCTTTGTAGTTTCCTAAGTGACAATAGCACTAGGAGCATCTTTTGTTCTAAAATTTAGTCTTTAACCCCGGTTTTGACACTGGGCTTCTGAAGCCCTGTTAAGTTCCTGGGTGACAGGAGTGCCTTTAGTTCTAATAAGGTGCCTCTGGGTGGTCTAACGGAGGGAGGCTTGTTACCGGAAAGACCAAGCCATGATGAGAAGCTTGGAAATTTCAGCCCTGTCCCCCCTCCATTCTCCAGAGACGGAGAAAGGGCTGGAAAGGGAGTTAATGATGGATCATACCTATGTGACGAAGCCTCCATAAAAATCTCAATAGTGCGGGGTTTGGAGAGCTCCCAGGTGGGTGAACACATCCACATACTGAGATGGTCATGCACCCCAACTTCATGAGGACAGAAGCTCCTGTGCGGGGGACCCTTCCAGACCTTAGCCTTATGAATCTCTTCATCTGGCTGTTCGTCTGTAACCTTTATCATATCGTTTAATAAACTGGTAAACTCAGCATTTCCCTGAGTGCTAGAGTGAGCCACTCTAGCAAATTAACAGAACCGAAGGAGGGGGTGGTGGGAACCTCTGATTCGTAGTTAAGTCAAACAGAAGTTGTGGGTAACCTGGGGATCTACTGCTTCATATTGATAGCTGAAGTGATGGGGACAGTCTTGTGGGGCTGAGCCCTCCAACCTGTGGGATCCGGTGCTATCGCCAGGTAGACAGTGTCAGAATTGAGTCAAATTTAGGGTGCTCAGCTGGTGTCCTGGAGAATTGCCTGGTGTGGAGAAAAACACCTGTACATTTGGTGAGCAGAAGTGTCAGAAGTGAAGTGTGCTGTGTGAGGAGTAAAGACACAGGAGGGAAGACAACTGGGGGTCTTTCTTTATACCAGCACATTTTATGTCTTTGGTGACTTTGGTATTTCCTAAAAGAAATTAGTTTTAAAAAGGAGAAAATCATCTGTCTCACTGATTAATCATTCATCTAAAGATATGAAAATCTTAAATTTTTATGAAATAATTCAGGAGCTAGTATAAAGATGTTGGAAATATATGGCAGGCCCTTTTATCATTTTTCCTTTATTGCAAAAGGTATGAGTATAAAATTTTATAATATGTAGACGAGCAAGAAATAAATAAAAATCCCGTACAGTTCTCATAATCCTCACAGTGAAGTAAAGCGGGAGTGCTCCGCCATGTAGTGGTTCTTGCTGGCTGTTTTATTTCCTGTTTATTTCTAAGCTATTCAAAGTTCTGAGTACCATGAAAAAGCAATGGCCTTGTGAATCAATTACCCAGTGGTAATTTTCTACAAGTTGTTTTCTATTCATACATACTGTTTTTTAAAAAGTGGAGTAGTGTTAACATATGTCCACACAAAAACTTGCATACGAATGTTCATAGCAACATTAATCATAATAGTCAAAAAGTGAGAACAACTCAAGTGTACTTCAGCTGATGAATGGATAAACAAACTGTGATCCATGCTTACAGTGGAATTTTATTTGGCAATAAAAAGGAATGAAGCGCTGATACGTCTTACAATGTGGATGGACATTATTATGCTAAGTGAAAGAAGCCAGTCACAAAGTATCACATATTGTATGATCTCCTTTATAGAAACTATCTAGAATTGGCAAATCTGTAGAGACAGAAGTAGATTAGCGGTTGCCTGGTGCTGCAGGAGAGGGTAAGGAGGGGATGGGAAGTGACTACTAGTGGTACAAGATTTCTTTTGGGGATGATGAAAATGTTTTCAAGTTAAATTATGGGAATGATTGCACAACTCTGTGAGTATACTCAGAACCAATGACTTGTACACTCTGAATGGGTAAACTTGTATGGTTTATAAATTATATCTCAAAAAAGCTCTTAAAAAGTCTTATGGGAGTGCTTTATTAACGTTAGCATAGCTGTAAATGAGAAGAGTTCTAGAAAATTTGCCCTTTTTCTTTCTTTTTGGGTTCCCATCCTCCCTTCTATATCACTACACTCCCCACACTTAACCCCAGGAAGAAACGTGGTTGATTGTGGTTCTTTTGATAGAGAATTTTTTTTGCCTCAAATGTGTTTTGAACCTATTTGATTGACACCTTTCTTGAATCAGCAGCCCACAAATGCAAATAAAATGGGAGCAGCGCAGCGGTACTCACCTTCAATAATATGTTTTCTTGACAACCCTCTTTCCGTTTCAGCTCTAACAAGAAAAAGAAGCAAATGACTTTGAGTGGGGGTGTGCTTTTTTCTTTAATCACTGTTTCAAAAGTACAGAGGAATAATCATTCTAGATTGAATTGCTAATTTTATACCCTGTTCTCGGCAAATTCTGCACTGCTGCAGGCTGAGGGGAGAGGGCTGGGGGGCAGCACACTGAGCCCCCTTTCTTTGGAGACCCCAGGAGACGAATTAACCATGACTGTCATCACACCACGTTCATAACAACTCAGCCACACACACCCTGTCCCTATGTAATTCGACACATGGCTCAACCTTCCCACTTTGTTCTTAACTGGTTCCAAAAAAAAAGGCTTGCCATAAGTTTATGGGCCGAGGCTGCTGATTGCATTAGCTTTCCTAGGAAGGAAGCATATTTGAAAGTGCCTTTTGACATTCAAAGGAAATTTAAGAAAGATTTTCTTTTAAAATGTGATGAACCAAGTCTTCCTTAAATCAGCATCCTAAAAAGACAAATCTTTAACCAAAAGATTTAAAAATCTTTTGCCTTCCCGGTCCATTCTCAAGCTCTGGGCCATTAGAAAGAAATACGGTCTTTGAGTTTTAAAGTATCGATGAAACGTTCCTTCAACGTGAATACCATTGGCAGTCTCTTTAAAACATAGTAGTTTACCATTTGCCTTTGGAGATTTTCCACCTTTTATAACTAGTACTCTACTACGTACTGGTTCTTGCAGATTCTCTTATTTCCTGTTTATTTTTAAATTCTAGGTAAGGTTTTAAGTACCATTGCAAAAGCACCAAGCAACGGCACCGCGATCAGAGCACAGACAATGTAATCGACATTGCTCATAGGTGCCGTGTCGCTTGATTTTTATATAGACTGCAAGAGGAAGAAAAATCTAAATTCCATCTTTCTGTCTTCATAGTCACGAAAAACAGCAATAAAATATGAGTGTGTGTGTGTGTTTACACATACCCATTTTGACTAGAAGATTCCTAAAGAATCAGCCTCTGCCTACAGTTTTGTTTTTAATGATTCCCTATCGATTATAGGAGGTAAATAAGGTTTTGTTTGTTTGTTTTAGCTTTTTGTTTAGATTCTATGGAAATTTTGAGATTTCCATGAAAAAGTATATGGAATAGCTTTCTGTTTTCTTACATGTTTGTCAAAAAGGCGAGACTTCCAAGTCCTGCTGAATAATGTGAGTACCGGGTCAAACACCGGTAGGCCAGCAGAAGCCAATGCATTCTGTGGAATTTGTTCTGCACCCACAACAGAGCGAGGACTTCTCTTTCACTGGCCTGACAGCGAGGGGCACAGGCACTTCCTGTTATTCTCCGGTGAGACGGTCCTTTGATCAGCACGCCCAGAGCCCTCTGCAGAAATGATCAGACTTACAGGTGGGGCCAGGCAGGATATTTTTATCTTCACGCTCCGTAGAAGCTGCTGAGTTTTGGCAGATTTGAGTAGCTTTTCTTTTGTGATGCTATGTGCTTATTTTCTTTTCCTGAAATTTGAACTCTATTTTGAAATAGTTCTAAGTATGAGGTTGACATTTGGAAATCTCCGAGAATCACTTAGTAACAAGTGACCACATGCTCTGCACTAAATTTCTTTGGGGGCATCTTGCTAAAATGGAATCCTACGCTAATTGCTATTTCCTTCAAGTGAGAAAAAGTAATTTCTCTCCAAACCAATTAATTGTAGTACTTTGGATGTAAAATAGTTGCCTAAAAGGATAAAATTACGGAACGACTGTTTCCTGTCAAGTAGGGAAGATGAAAGGTATTTAACTTACTTTCCACCCCAGTAGAGTTTGGTGGTTATGACCAGGCTGGACCTCCTGTATGTTAAAGACACAAACACACACAGAGAAATATTAAATAAATTGCCAGTTATTGCACTAAGTTATACTATTATTATTACAGCACCAGAAGGAATATATTGTACCTTACATTTAAAAACATCAGTAAAGAGATAAATTTGTGAACTCATCTTACTGAAACGTAAGGACAAAGGGCAGCCGGTGAGTGGGGACTTGCAGTCAGAGCCCAGAAGAAGGTTGAAGGGAAGTGTTGACCTGGAGGGCTGGCGGAGGAGGAGGGCTTTGCCCCCCTGACTGGGGGGTGGCAGAACAAAGGTGATGGTAGGCATGGAGGGTCAGAAATGGTAAACGAGAGGCGCAAGTGAGAGGACTCAAAGCATGGATTGCTTTAGTGGCTCAAATTAACAGCCAGCAACTCACTCTTACCTAGCATCCGACACAACCTTGATTGAGGGTGAACTTTCCTGGGGGTAAGCCCACCCTCTGCCAAGGACCATGGCCCTAGCACTCTGAGTTATCACCCTTTCCAACCATCACACTCATAGGCAGGAACTGACTACATGGAAATATGAATGATGAAGTCAATTACAATAGTCAAAGTAGAAACAAAATTTCCTTGACTTCATTAAATGGAAATGTTACTTTAGGAAAACACTCCAAAAATCTTTAACTCAAGGTTTTACCACTTTAATCCTAAGGGAATGAAATGTGGAAATCTTGTCAGGAAATTTATTACCTTCTCACAACCACACCTAAGGGCAGGAAATGCAATTGTACCATTATAATTGTGGGGTAAGAAATATGTCTTGAGAACTATAGTCGTAAAATTTAAAATTGGGAGGCAGATCTCAGAGTAATTTAGTTTCTCTAGGTGTGTAATTCAGTTAAGCTGGTCTAGAAAAAAAATCATTTGAGATTCGAAGGTTAAGACCAAACTTTGAGAGTATTTGAAATAAGACATTTATATTTCCATCAGCTGTAGAGTCAATGCCTCGGGGCCCTCGGGTATAAAAGCCTAGCATGATTAATGATGACCAATGGGGAATGACAGTGACAATTCTGACAACTTGGCTGCAACAAGAAAAACTTGTAGAAAATGTCAGCGGCCCCATCCCACTTAAGTTAATTTCCTGAAAAGTAATTTGAATCCCGGTGATGGGAGGCCTACAGATATATGCATCTGGAGATGACACACCCCAGAAGGGCCGATGCCCTTCCAGGTTAATCCATCACCTCATGATGCCTGGTATAACAGCAACCTGCCACAGGGGAGCCAGATCGCCTTCAGCAAACATTTTAAGAGCTTCAACAAAGGGCTGGATGGAATATTATAAAAAATGAATGCAGTGCCCTCGATTATGCAGAGCACTTGGGCCTGCCAAAGCTGCACATTCTATCCAAATGCCACCATAGACTTATTTTTCCAAAGTTAGGTTTTCTCTAAAATCTTTGGCTTATATGGGTGTGCAGACTAACACCCATATTTATATTCAGACAGCCAAGAGTACACAGCAACCTGGCAAATGATCGCTGACCCCCCGGAGGCATTTAGCGCAACTCTTCTGAGTGGGAGGAGAATGACAGCATGAGTATTCTGCATTGATACAGCACAGCCATCAAAAGGCTTTTGCACACCTGTCTCAATCTATCAGCGTGAAGCTTCATGAACAGTTATGCGGTCCATTTCACAGGTGGGAACATCAAGACTCAGAGAAGTGAAGTAGCTCGCCCTGGAAAGCACAGCTAGGAGGTGGTGGCACTGGGACCAGAAGCCAAGTAGGTTAGGTGAAACCACTTTTACAGATGCCATGCTATGAGGATATGGTTCATCTTTTCACCAGTCTGGTGGGGGCAGTGTGAACTGATATGGATATTCTGTAGCATGGTGATAGCGTTTTTTATTTGCAGGACTGAAAGGCAGTTTGTGACAGATGCACGTGATCTGCTGTATCGCAGGTATACAGCAGGCTCTGCAAGCTGTGGAGAGAGACGGTGCAATGTTCTCCGGGTGTCGAGGGGAGAGAGCTACTGCACTGATGCTCCCCTCCTTCCTCAGGGCTACGCGGCCGGCCTACACCTCGCCACACATTTCACTGGACTACGAGCGGACGCACATGCAAGGTTTCTGTCACAGGCTGAATTGGCTTCCCCCAAAAGCTCTGTTAAAGTCCCAACCCCCAGCACCTCAGAATGGGAGCCTCTTTGGCAATAGGGTCCCTGCAGGTGTGCTTAGTTACATGAAGATGAGGTTGTACTGGAGTGGCGTGGGCCCTTAATCCAGTATGACTGGTGTCCTTATAAGAAGACACACAGACACACAGACGGGGAGGAGGCCGGGTGGAAGGGCTGCAGCTGCAAGCCAAGGAAGCCGAAGATTGCCAGCAACCAGAGAAGCTAGGAAGAGGCAAGGGAGGATGCCACCAGCGTTTCTGAAAAAGTGCGGCCCCGCCCAACCTTGATTTTGTGGTTTTGGCCTCCCCTGTGAGAGAATAAATTTCTGTTGTTTTGAGCTTCCCAGTTTGTGGCACTTTGTTACAGCAGCCCCAGGAAGGTGACACGGTCCCTCTCTGGGCTCTGATGGATGGTCCAACATTCGGAGTGGAACAGTAATTCAGGCAAGGTGGAGGACTGGGTGGGAACATGAATATTTTTCCATATTTAAAGGTTGAATACAATTTTCACTTAACGTCTTTACAGTTCCTGGAGTGGGGGGGGAGGAGAAGGGAGAGGGAGAGATTAGGTTACCAAACTTTGTTTATATCTCCATAAATTTCGGAGTTTCCATTTCCGATAATACTATAGAACTGTTATTTATTTGGCCACCAGCAAATATTACACCAGAGCAGAAGAGGACCCCAAACGTGCCCAGTGCTCTTTGCTGGGCGTTGCCTGATTCTGTACTCATGCTGGAGAGGAAGTGGCTGCTGGCACTGACATGCATAGCGAAACGGAGGGGGTCGCCTGCCCATGTCTCGATGTTACAGCATCTCTTGTTACTACAGACTCTGGCCACGACGGTGAAGGGGTGGCATGTGACCCCTCACAGAGAGCAGATAAAGCACTTTCCTGAGGGCCCAGACACTAGGGCTCCTGGCACACAGGAGAGACACTGGCTAAGTGTGTTCAGATAAGCAAGCTTGGGGCTATTTATCACAGGGGCTTCTTGCTTCATCATTTCTTTGCATCCAGAGTTGTCAAGAAAATGAACAATGAGCATAAATTCGTGTGTATAGGTAATCAGCTTCCTGTCGGCTGGCTTCCTTCGCCTAATCACCATAAACGGCAGCCAGAAACAGTGAAAATGCCCCTTAGCATGAATGTCTGATGAACACTCCTCCTCCGCTCAATCTTATGGTAATTCATTGTGATCAATGACTAGTCAATAGTTTTTGAAGGGCAGGTAGTGAACTCGCTGGCATGTATTTTCAAAGCACTGTCAATCATTTCTTTACAAGAGTTGATTTTTTTTGACAGTCCATTGGTCAGTTGTCATGCAGTTTTATTTTCCCTTCTCTGGTACAAAATAATAAGTCTTTTTAAAGGCAAGTGGATGATTATGGTGAAAGCATTACCTCCAGCCTTTCTTCTTGATGATGCTCCCCAGAATCACTTCAGCCCTGGAGGGAAACAGACAGTGTCTTAGGATACTATGTCCTGGAAATGCAAGAGTCAACCCTGACCCCAGATCCACTCCTTGCTTGAGCTCTCAGTGCCTACATGTCCCCAAATAGAAGCCGCTCGCGGCTCGTGGCACAGTGTCCGCTGTTTCTGCTTGTGCCTGCAGAAATCCTGCTCCCGGAGCATTCCAGAAGCACCTGCCAAATCCTGACACGCTGGCAGGAGAGCACCTGCAGTCCTGATACTAAAAACAGTGGAGTCATTTGGCAGTTTGGTGTTTTTGAACCACTGATCCCATACATAAATATCCTGCTCGGTGGTGTCCAATGGGAGTCAAGATTTTCCTTCTAATTATTGTGGTCTCCAATTGTAACCAGGGAGGAAAATGAGACCTCACTCTGTTTAGACAGAATATATTAACTCACTGGGGATCTTGCAGGATAAAAGCACCTATGTGTGGGTTTAGATGCCCCAAAGCCCACGCCTGCAGACGCAGTGGCCACGTAGAGAATGTCCCGGGAGATGCAGAAAGGCTGGGTTGCGGAGAGGTATACCAAAGATGGCCCAACTGTCCTCTCTGCCCACACCTACCCCAGCTGGGACCAAGCTTCAGGAGACTTAAACTTTCTTCTAAATCCCTCCCAGTCAGACCAACGTTGTGAGCAGCAGCTGGGCTCTCAGAGGCTTGTGAGTGGGGACGTCAGTGGAATTAGCACTCTGTCCAATAGGATCCTATGGATTCATCGCGAATCGCTATTTGTCTTCACTGAAAGTGAAGTCTTTGCTGGAGTGTACAGCCTGGCAATGGATCATGATGCAGTTTGGCTCCAGAGCATGCCCCGAGCAGACAGGCACTGAATGTTGCCCCAGTGTCCCCCCCTGCATCTGTCTCCTTGACAGCTGCCTTTCACAACCTTGCGTTTCGCAGTGGAAACCTATGTCAGTTACACACTGATAGTCAATCAATAATTAACCAGGACTGATTATCCTTCACAATAGGAATACAAACAGGACTCCAACAGACTTGTTCATCCCTCCTCCCTTTTTCAACCTTAGCCCCATTTGCTGCTAAGCAAAACTCAACAAGAGGAGAAAACATGGAGAAAGGGTAGGATAGGGAAAAGAGCAAGGCCTTATCCATTGTATTTTCTCTCCCTGGACTCAACAGAAAACATCGGGGATGTGGGCTCTGAATCTCATTGACGGTCCTTAAGACAGACCTGCCCTTGAAAAGAAGGAAACGCATGCAAGGATGCACTTGGACCAGGCAGTGATGAGCTGATTCAGCAAGTCCAGCAGTCTGACTGTAATTCTCACAGAAGGAAGTGAATTAGGCCTGTAGGTGCTTAAGCTCCACAGTCGTCTTAGAAAATTGCTGAGTGGCTCAAGCAGCTGTCCAGCTATTATTTTCTTCCAGTTCTGGGAGCTGCGTTCATGTTCACGGTAGGGGGCTGAGGTGCTCCAGCTCTGTTCTAAAATGTGCTTGTTGTGCCATGACCTAGAGGCATGGACCTGGAGTCCTGGCCCCGAGGGCACATGACCCCTGTGTTCTGAGTTAGCAGGGAGCCCTGTTTTAGTGCCCCAGACCTGCTCTCAGGACCTTAAGAAGGTTGTAGCCAGATGCGACTTCTCCAGCAAAAGAAGTGAGGCCTCTTTGCAGCCCCCTCTGTCCTCAGATTGGGGTCTGAAATGCCCTCTTATGAAAGACGTTGGGTTTCTTGGCATCTTTGGGGACACCTACTTTAATCTCTGCTCTAGCCCTAATGCTGGGTGGAGGGAAGTCCTGCACAGAGGAAGAGCAGCTCCCGCAGAGAGGATGTCCCAGTTTCCCTGGGGGCTGAGGAACTATGAGATGTGGTTATGAAATAATGACATTAGTTTTTGTAGGACCACCCTGGAATCTGCTCATTGATTTGCTCACTCATATATTCAACTAACATTTATCGATCTCCACTGCCACCACTCTGTCCCAGCCACCTCTGCCTCTCAGGCACACCATGGCGATTGCTTCCAGTCCATTCTCCATACTGGGACCAGAGATGGGAAGGTGTGGGTGGGCAGAGGGGGCCGGAGACAGTCAATATCCCCAAATCTGGTGATCGTGACACAGGGAGGGACAAAAGTAGTGCCACCAACATATGTGGGAAGGGCAGATCCTTCTGGCCAACATGTCAGCAGTGGTCTGGGAAGGTCTCTTGGTTCCAGAAATTCCAGAAATGCCACTTGAGGGACACAAACGGGTAGTGACTTACTTGCCAGCAGCATAGACCTCGGCAGTATCAAAGAGATTAACCCCACTTTCGTAGGCGATTGTCATCAGCCGTTCAGCAACCTGCAAGAGGACGGGAAGGTCAGTCAGAAAAGTCAAGTGCTTTCCAAACCCGGGAAGCGATTTTGAATCCTCCGGCGGGCTTTAAGAACTCTGAAATCTCACTGACCACTCCTTGCTTTTCTCAGATGTATTAAAGAAAGAAAAAAAAGAAGGTTCAACCAGCACACACAGGCTTAGAGTATCCTTTCCCTCAGACATGACTGGATGAGGGACTGCACACTGGGACAAACCGGCCATCGGGGGTCAATGAGGTGGAGAGATTTGTGTTCCTCACTCTGCTTGGAAGACCGGATTGACAACATTCTTTGTGGCCTCGTAATCTCGCTGACAAAGAGGTCATTTGTATCAGTGGTGACTTCATCCCTCTTCTTTCTCCTTTCTCCAGGCCAATAGGTTTTGGCGGCTGGGCAACTCCTGACCTACAAGCTTGTGCCCTTTTCCTGGAGGCTTAGCAGACTGTGCTGATGAACCAAAGGTTAGACAGAGCTGTGACTGTTGCAAGACTCCTGCCACCCACAGCTCAGCGAAACCCCAGGTACCACTGCAGAGCAACCGGCCAGCAGAGCTGACAGGACATGGAGGACGGAGGGAGGCACTGGCTCACCAGGGACCCAGCTCCTCCTCATCAGCCTGCAAATGGATCTCTAGGCGCCTTGTTCTTTCCTTTGTGCTTCCGAAAGCGTGACAGAACAGTACGGGGCAGGGGTGGGGTGCAGCTATAAACAGTCTGAGGGACAGCTATAGAGGGAGAGCCATAAACAACAGTGGAGTGGGGACAGTTTTTCATTTGGCTGATGGACTTAATAGTCAATCGAAAAATTACATACCTCACAAATAATTAAAATTGATTTTTCCATTATATTTTTGATTGTGGGCTAAGGTTGCTTCATTGGCATTTTCAAGATAAACTATTTTCCTGCTGTTTTTAAAATTGGCGTGCCAAGAAAATCGTTAGGCTAGCAAAATGGAGTCCATGCAAATCCTTTAGGACAATAGCGGCAAAAATGCTATTATTGCTTTTAATTTGCTACCATTAAGAAATTTCTCCTAAGTAGAAATGAAAAGTTAAGACAAGTATAGTTTTTCACATTATGAGTGTCCAATATTTTAGAAATTATTGTGCTTGTATTGTATACTGTCCTTGTGTTATGTCACACGACATACTAGGAGATGATTATTGAGAAATGTGCAGAATAAATCTTATCTAGAGAGAAATTTGAAGATGAAACGGAGTATCCTGGATGGAGAGTGGGACTAGATGACTGCTGAGATGTTTCCCGACCACAGGATTTGAAGACCAGAATGTGGAACGATGAAAAGGAATCACTGAACTAAGACTAGCTTCTGGCCTTGAGTGACTGCCTACTAAATACGTAAACTTGGGCAAATCCTTTGCTCTCTCTGATTTCAGTTTCTTCACGTGCAGAATGAGGATGGTTCTGTTCAGGTCCTTCACTGAGCCCATAGGCCTCAGGGGAAGCCGACCTCACCTCCCTCCACTGGGGGCCTGATGGCCTCAGGGTAAGTGGTTCAGGGAAGGTCAGGTGACAAATTCCAGCCAATGAGATGCGAGGAGACATTTGCTGAAGCCTTCTGGGAACATTTTTCCTTGTTCTTCTTGCAGAGTTTCTGGAAGTTTCCTGGAGTTATTATTCTAATTGAGATCTAGAATTCCTGCCGCTATGTTACTACCTGAGGATGAAGTCGACAAAGGAACACAGTGCCAAGGGAAAATGGGCTGGAGGCCACCGATGGGGTCAACCCTGAAGCTTGCTCTACCCCTGCACTTGTAGTTTGAAAGTGAAAGTAATTTTTTCCCTTGTTGATTAAACCATTTGGAGTTGGGTTTATTGTTACCTACAGTTGAAGGAACTCTAAGTACCTTACAGATGAGAAAATGTAAATAAAATTCTGAAAATTCAGTGCTGCAAGGTGTTAACATTCTCTTGTATCACTATTGTAAAATATCACGATTCCGCTGAGTAATATCCTTCTTGATATGAGGAGGCCAAGTCATCTTTGGGAGGTGCCTCACAGAGTTGCTGGTTTCGTGTTTGAATCCCCTTGGTACTATTCCTGCTAAGTGACTATTCAGTCCCTGGTGGAACTCTGCCAGTCATGGGGACATCACGGCTGCCTGAGGCCGCACGGATGACTGAGTCACTCAGCATGTTACGGTGCAGTCATCCCAGCATCCCATATTTGTACCTGCTTTGTGCTGAGCTCATCTGAAGCCAGAGAGAAAGTGGGGAGATCTGGGGAGGTGAATTTGTTGCTATTGGCCCGGATTTTTGCCACATGGAAATTGCTGAGCTGGAGCACGTGAACCACGGCGTGACGGTGGTCTGGTGGCTCCTCCCTTCCTTCTCCTTGCTGGCGGTCTCTCTGCAGGGCCCTGAGGAAGCCACAGCTGCCCTCTGGAAGGACAATAGCTATCTGTCTGGTCTGCGTCTGAGGTGAGAGCTTCTGCCTCCCTTCACAACCGCTTTATTGTGCAGTTTTTAGAATCGTAATTTTGAAACGATTCGTTTCAGAGGCCATCTTCTGGCCTGGGCAGGCTGGGCTCCTTGCAGCAGAGAGCAGACACTGTGAAAGGGGGAGCAAAGATGAAGGGGGAAGTGATGGGCTTACAGCTGGCCCCTCTGCTCCAAAAGGGAGGATATTTTTATCTTTTCCCCCTCCAAGCAGCATACGAGGCGGCAGAAGGCGATGCCCATGCTGGGTACGATGGATTATTGACTTTAGATCTCGCTCCCTGCTTGTCACTGGTTTGTATCTGATTGAAGTCATGCGATGCCTCGACATCTTGCCTCTGCGTCTCCTCCACTCGCCCTTCCTGGTGCCAGTCAGGGGGCCCTGTAGTGGAGCCTGTGATGGCCACCTAGCTCTGACTTTAGAACCGAAGGGCTTATTCCTCAGCTGCTAGGAATGTTGCTATCAGATGGCACTTGGCTAAACCCCAAGGTCAGACCTGGCTCCCAGGGCAGCCTCTGTCTAACAACTGGTCAGACAAGGGATATAAATGCTCAGTCCCCTTGCCCCAGCTCAGGACAACTCTGCAGGGCCGTCTCAGGTTCGGAGCCCCACCTTGGGTCAGCCGAGGTCGTTGTGAAACTGCATCATGGCCCAACTTCCTAATAACTGTTCTGCTTGCTGCTCTCTATCCAGAGTCCCCTTCCCAAGGAATGCCCCATGCGGTAAGCTCTCTGCAGGGACCTAGGCCCAACACTGGGAGCAGGCATTCACACAGATGCGAACGTGCAGACCAGACTCCTCTGGGGACCTAGGGGCTGTGGAAAAGACCCTCTGTTCCCTCAAGCTTCTCCTTAGGGATGACAGTGGGAACTCTCCTTACAAAGGGCTTGCTCTGGGCCGGTGCTGGGCTGAGTGCTTCACAGGACCAGTTCATTCATCTTAATGGTGATCCTGCTCAGCAGGGCTCTCATGACATTCCACTGAGGTGCCACCTGTCAGTAAACGTCAAGGTTGGTAACCTGGTCAGTCAGTGGCAGAGTGAGTTGGATCCCATTGAGCGGATGCACTCAGAGACACGCTCCCTGACTGCTCAGTGGTGCGCAGGCAGGCAAGGGGGGCTCAGGGACTCCAGGGTGTGGCCCTCAGAGGGTAGCGCCGCCGCCGCTGCCTCCATAGTTCACTGTGCCCTGAAGGTATTCCTTAAAGGCAACGGTAAGAACCCCACTTTGGTGAGCAGTTTTGAATGTATAAACAAAGATTTAAAGGAATTTTGTGGTAAATATAATGATTCTAGTTACGATTCATTGACTGTCTGCTACCTGCTAGTCGGAGGGCCGCATAAATGTCTAACACGTGAACACGGTTAACCCTTTCAACAGACTTCAGAGTCGACATTATCATCCCATTTACACAAGGGGATCTGAGGCTCAGACAGGGTGGCTTAACTTGCCCAAGCCAGGGTGACGACTGTCCTGGTTTGCCCAGGACTGAGGGATCCAGGCTAAAACAGAAAAGTCCGTGCGAACTGGGAGCAGCTGGGCACCCTAGGTGGAGCTGAAACACTCGCAGCTGTAACAGCCATGAGATCTTCCACAACGCGGCTGAATGTTACTTCCAAACTGGTTTGCTCTCTAGCTACTGAGCCTGCGCATGTAATAGACAGACAGCCTCAGGGCTATTAATAGCCTAAATGTGGAAAAGACGGGATGCAAGATGAAATTGAAAATAATCTTTGAGTCAGTCTTAACTATTTCCTGTGATTGAAACATCGTCCCTGTAGAAGGCTAGGTTCCCGGGAAGAGCACTTCTACCGGCCAGCTCTCGCTGCACTTTCTTTGATCAGCAGAATGGAGGCCAAAAGTTACTTACCTCATCTGAAATTTGACCTCCAAATGTCACCCATGTTCCTAGAAAAGAATAAACATTTGCATATTACTTATGATCATTTTTCTAACATTGTGCGTCGTGAGAGGAAACGCTCTCACATCGCGGCTCCTTCAGTGGAAGTTCACAAAGGGACTGTCTGAGGGGCACCAGAGGGCTGCGGTTGGGCCTGTCCCCTCCTCTCACTAAGCACCCCAGCAGGGCTCCACACCTCTGGAGGACAGGATACCTCTTCTTCCCTCACAGGCCCCAGCAAGCCACGGCAGCCCTGGCCCGCAAAGCGCTTTCTCCTCTGGCCCAGGCCTGTGAACGCGGGTGCAGAAGGCGGAGATGCCGGGCCCACTTTGGCTACAGGCTCATTCTTGCTCGCACTTAGCTAAGAAGCTGCCAGTTCTGAAAGTGAAGATAAGGCCCTGGGTGATGGTTCCTCCCTTCTTTACCTCCTACGAGGGACTCTATTTTATATTCTCTATTACCTTCCAGTCATACTTCTGGGCTCCGGGAGGTGACATTTAAGCACCTTCTCTGTCATGACCTGCTTCTCTAGAATGGTTTTGGGGTGGGGGGCGGGGGAGGCTGTCTCCTGAGTGAGGATTGGGAGGCAGGGGAGAGAGGCACAGTCAGCAGCCAGATGTGCACTTGTCAAGCGAGGCGGAAGCAGATGCTGAGCGGGCTCTGCCACTCAGGCTACTGTCACCTCCTCCATTCATTCCCTCCTTGATCCATTTTTTTTGACCTCAAAATACATGCCAGGCAAGGGCATTGAACCCAGGTGCTGGGGACCGTGAGGTGACTAACCCAGTGCCCCTCTCCCAGGAGCTCACAGTTCACAGCACTACTTGACAAATGCTGGACTGAGGCAAATCCAAGGTGTCAGGGAGCAAGTGCGCCACCTGAGCTGGAGGGAGGTGGTGCTCTGGAAAGTGTTCCTAGAAGAGGTGACACTTTGGTTGTGTTGCAAAAGAGGTAACTGAATAAAGCAGGAAAGGACAGGCCTTCCAGCTGTAGGTAAGAGCGTGGGTGCTCACAGGCAGAAAACCCCAGAGGGTGTGGAGGGGCTGCTGGGGGGCCGGCGAGCGATGGGCGGGATGGAGGTGAGGGTGGCAGACGTGAGGGCAGCCAGGGCACAAGTGATGTCGTGGGGGCACCAAAGAAATGCTGTTGGAAACTTACGTTCTGCATTTCACAATAATCATCATAGCTACTGTTTATGGAACACCCTCCATATGCCGACAGTAGGCTGAGAAATTCGTGTACTTTAATCATTTTGACAAACTTACAATGCAATTTTATTATCACTCTTTCTAGATGAGGAATCTAAAATCAACCAACCTAATCGGTGGGATGCCCAGATTCCCACACGTGCCTAGCTTCAAGAACGGTACCTTTTCCACAGCTTCTCACTTCTCATTAGTAAATTTCCAAATTAATTATGGCGCTTGGACTTCATACTCCATAGACGCATGTTCATGTAATTGCAGCTTTTCTTAGTCCTCAGGGACTAGAACAAAGGTAGGATATAAACTATTTTACTGTTACAGTCTACGTCCCCAGAGGTTGGAAATGGCAGCCTGCAGGTTACACTCAGCTTTGCCCGGCTACAACAATGTTGACCGACTTGGTATTTTAATAAATTTAAAATGTTGCCAACATTTAAGTAATTAGGAGATTTTTCTTAAAAATGTCTGCTTTCCAGCTTCTCTTAACAGCAGAGGCCCGGGGTCCCACACGGCAGACGTCCCCTGAATCCGAGGGCAGTGCCCTCTGTGGAAGGGCCAGGCCCCAGGCTCAGTCAGAGGCTGCACACCCTCCTTTGCATGCCCAACACTGACATCAAATTGCAGTTATTTACTACCACATGTTTACTGCTATTTTTCTTATTGCAAAATTAAGAGAAAAGGGAACTTGTGCATCTCCTAAGAAAATAGAGCTGAATATTTCAAGAAGAAAATAGGAGTGCACTTCTTTTTGGTGGATGTGACGAATATCCAAACAAAGAATGTTTGCACAGAAAAACTACAATTTAAAGCACCGTAATAAAACCAGCCATGACTGGCGTACGGAAAACATGGGCATTGAGAAACCTAATGGACTGAAGAATGTCAGCGTTTGGCTGTGAATGAGAATAAAATAAATGGTGTGCCGTGAAATGCTGTTCTCTATTAAGTGGAAAAATTGCCTGGGCATCAAAACCTTTTTACAGACGACACTTTTATCAGAGTCTCTTTTGAAAGCAGCAGAAATTACGTGTCCAGAGCATAAACAAGCATTTGCAGATGTTATAACCAGAAACACTGTAGCCCAGCCTGTTAAAAATATGGTTGAGAACTTCCAGGATAAGTTAAATTATTGGTGGTATTTCTATCGCAGCAAATGAGAATGCAGATATAAATAATAACACACTGTGAGCTCTATTTATTTGTGATGTTTTGAGAATTTTGGAGAGGTCAGAGAACTTCTGAACAAGAAGTCCTTGCAAGGCAAAGCGTCGGGAAATGGCTTATTTTGTGATGAGAAAGGCCTCAGACCACCAGATGGAGACCGCATTGTTCCAGGGTTCTCCTGGGGTGGGGCCGACATTGGACTTGTCAAGCCAAAGATGTGAGGTGGCAGTATTTTGTAGGGGCACTTTACGTAAATCCATGAATTTCCTCATTGGCCAGGAATTTCTCTGGGCTAAAGAGCTAAATCGAGACAAGCCATAGATTCAGTAATTAATACCATGAGTCAGCTATTCTTCTATATCCTGGAGCAAAATCAGGTCAGTGTTTGCTTGACGAATTTGCAGGCTCACTTGTGCTGAGATACCGAAGAGATTTTTGTAACTGTTCATGTCATCAAAGGAAATAGTCCTATCTCCACTCAGCAGCTAAGATTGGCTTGAAGGTCTAAGCTTCTTGTTGACATTACAAGTCATTACACCTTGAATATTTCTCTGTAGGGGCATGCGCAAGTATTGAAACAAATGTCCCATTTGCTCTTCTCAGTCCTGACAAAATAGAGTCTTTGGGAAATTCATTTGCTAAAGAATAGTTTGGTCCACTTTCCCACATTGCAGTCAGTTTCCAGAAGTAAAAATGATAGCCTGAAATTCATTCTTCAAGACTGGGCCATTGAATGCTGGTTGTCAAACTTTATGAAAATAAACTAGCATTATTTAGCTTATCTTTCTTAATTAACTTTTGCTAGTACAAATGAAGGGCTATGATTTGAAGTTACCAAACTGTAGTACAAAATGGTATTGAAGAGTAAATGTGACAACATTGAAAGCTGGATTGTTCACACATCTTGGAGGAAATTGCCCTACTTATGAGAACCATTTATGACGAGTGTATCCACGTTGGGAAGAGCTTATGTTTAGGAGCAGCTTTATTCTAAAACGAATCTGAGGAAAACTACCTGCCAGCCCCAGTATATATGAAGTATTTAAGACTGCAGACCACACATCACAGTGAAAAAGTATAGGGCCTGAGTTCAGTCTGTTGCAGAAGAAAAGATCTCAGGTTTCTGATTCCAGATCAAAGCAGTAATGAATTATGAAAAAAAAAGTGATAATTAAACGTTTTCTTTTTCAGTTAGTTTAAAACTTTTAATATAAAATAGAACACAGATATCATATATATTTACATTAAGTTATATATGTTTACATTAAGTTATAAGTTAGGAAAAATATATATTAAACATATATCATATATATTTACACTGTCATATATATTTGCATTAAGTTATAACTTAGGAAAAATAAAGAGTTTGGCCCCGTTTCTGGGTCTTCGCTCAGGTGGGCTACTTCCCTGGCCCTTTAGACCCATGCTACTCATTTGTTCTATAGTTGTTTGCTTATAACCTTTAAATGTTTTATGAGGGAGTAAGCTGTCTGAGGGTTTCATTTCACTCTTCTTCTTATCTCCACAACCCGGAATAGAAGTGAGTCCTTAGTAGATGGTCGATGATTGTTTGGTAAATTGAACTGAATGGCCTTTTTGACTGACATTAATTTACAAAATACTGGGATAATTTCCCACCCAACAATCATGTTTATTTCAGTTTATAGAAACATGAGTAATGCTCATCAAGTCTTCAGTTCTTCTAGTCCTGACGTGATTGGTGTGTTTCTCCCCGTCCCGGGTACCCACCCAGCTGTGGCCCCTCCTGGAGAAGGGCTGGGGGAAGTCCTTCTCTTTGGCTGCAAGGCCTCCAGAGGGACAGGGTGGCACTGTGTAGGGAGGGTCCACCAGCCAACCCTGAGAAATAGTTGCCACTTACAAGTAGGACATGTTCTCTCCCGATGGAGAGGGATCCAGGGCAGCCTTCCAGATAGGCGAACTCGGCTTGCATGATTTTATTCTCTACTACCCAACTTCACAAGATCTAGGGTGGTTTATTAGTTAATATGGTTCTCAAAAACCCTCTGTGACAGTTTTCATGGTCATTTTTCTGCCTCTAATGAGAACCAGACTTCTTGAGACCCAGGATGGCATATGACTATTTCACTGTGAAATCTCAAATTAGTAGGATGTTACTTAGAATATAATTTTACTAAACTGACACTTGCTATTGCTAACCTTTTAAAAGTAGAGGGAGAGTACAGAGAACTTTGAACTGTCATTGTATCTTCTGACAAACCTCCTTCATGCACCAAGGAATATGTGTTTTGAAAACCTTTGCATGGGCCCCTCAGCATGCACCTACTACGGCTTGGAAAAATGATTGGGGAAATGTAAAAATAGAAAGAGAACTGCCTTTACACACACACACACACACACACACCACTGTCTTGGTTACTTAGTTACCTTGTTGGCAGTTTACAGGGTAATTGCTTCTTGTTATCCATTCAGGAGTTCATTCCTGCTTCTGATTTAAATGACCTCCTTGCTGGAGAGATTCAGGCACTTAGATGCAATAAAGTTTAGTCATCTACCTCCCTGGCCGTTAACACCTCACATCACCATAGGCCATTATCAAAACCAGGCAATTAACACCAGCATATTACTAGTGACTCAACTACAGAGCTTTTCTGACTTTC